ATGTATATAAACTCCATGTCTTCGCCCTCTTGTAAAGGCAGATTCTTTGCCTCGGGCTTTGTGTCTCAATGTTTTTGGTTTGAGGTTTTTAGTCTTGAGTAGACTTTTCCCTCATGAATACATAATAAACTTGACGTGTTTGATTGTCTTGCTGAACTCTATGATATTATGCTTTGTGCAGTTAGTTTTAGTTTCGTCAAAGTTTATTCTTGGTTTTATTTATTTTATTAGTTTTTCTCTTTATTTGATTTTATACATTACATTCTGTCCCGACATATTACACATTCGTTTACCACCCTGACTATCTTGGCACTGACTCTATCTGACGCTCTCCCAAATTCGGATGGTCACACCGGTAATATTTTTATGGTAAAGACAGCTATAGCATTATTTTCCCACACGATGCATTCCTAATCATGATATATTCACAGTCATATTCTTCTCATACCACATATCATCAAGTAATTATGACGTGTTAGGTTTGTACTATGCCCGATATAATTTTAAACCCTACTATAATCAGATAAATGAAAGCCATTACTTATTCAATAAATGGATTTTTCAAAAATCAGCATAGCGAACACAAAAAAAGTGAATAGGATTGTTCAACGTGATCGTACTGGTAAAATAAAAATGATTATTTACCAAAGTATTCACAGTTGTATCTATTTTCTATTTTTCTATGTCCAAAATTTGTTCATGCATGCATTAATTAATAATTCACGTCTTTCAGATATCATAACTGGGAATTTATTTAAAATTTTCCCATGATATATCATTGTAATTCTTTTGTACCAGTAGCTTTATTTTTTTCACACAATCACAGCATGACGTCCTGTAATTTTTACATAATCAGTCGTACTGAATTCTCACACAATCATGACTTAAATTACGTATAGACATACTGTGTCGATTTTATTGTTATAATTGGAAAAAATGAAAACTATTACTTACACAAAAAAAGGATTTTGCAAAAATCAGCATAGAAAAATTCACATTTCATGTTGCACATTCAACGTGATCGTACTGGTATAATAATACCAGACCGACAGGTCACATAACTAACTACATATTAAGATATATGCATATATATGAATGCCAATGTCAATTAGTACGTACGTATTTAAACTAGGCTAATGCATAGTAATAGCATTGTGTGTCCGGTTGTTTTTGTTACATTAAAGTCAAATATAGTCATGCATCAAAAACGTAACTTTTGTCGCGTGTGTGGACAGATATCTTTTTCAAATTATGTTTTTGAATTATACTAATACAATGCATCAAAAACGTAACTTTTGATGCCTCTGCAACACTCCGGACAAAAATTATTTCTAGGCTAATACACAGCATTGTATATCCGGAGACTATAATTATCGAATATAGTTATGCATCAAAAACGTATCTTTGTCACGTGTGCGGACAGACATCCATATACATCAAAATCGTAACTTTGATAAAAACGTAAGTTAATTTGTCCTATTTAACAGTTAATATATATTTACTAAAAATTATATTAAACCAGGCTAATACGCGGCATTGATATTCGGAGGCTATAATGATCGGATATAATCATGCATCAAAAACGTAACTTTAGTCACGTATGCGGACAGACATCTTTTTCAAAGTTGTTCTTGATTTTTATCATTGTGATGCATCAACATCGTAACTTTTGATGCATCCAAAACGTCACTTTTGATGCACTATACTCGTCCATTAAGTGTCCTCCGCTACGCTCTGCAAAAATTTTATATACTGTACTGTACAGTCAAACTTTCTTTAAATGCAACATTAGCTTTGGGCTCAATTATATGTTTGGCCTCTATAAACTCTCTGTAAATGCAATTTTCTTAATTGTTGTCTAAATGCATATTGCTAAAAGACCGGTCCCAACGAATTGCACTTAGAGAGAGTTGACTGTATATATTTTAAACCCGAAAAATTATAAGTTTTAATCTGTTTGATAAAAATTGAAATTTTGATACTCTGATATTTGCTTATTATTTTGTTGGAAGTTAAAGAATTTTGTATAAATTGGGGCTGTATCATGGATATTTTTTGTAATAATATAAAAAAATAATAAAATGAGAAAGAGAATACAATTGGTTCTAATAAAAAGCTGTAAATTATTCTGTAAAAAAACAAGTACGATTAATTAAAACAAAAAGTCATAGAACAAATAAGGATATACTCTCTATATCACTGAATATTACTAGTCATTGCTATCCACAGCGAATATAAAAACTTAGTTTATTTTTCTTGAATTTTAAAGTGTTTTTACAAAAAAAAATCTCTTCAAATTTCAAGTGCCTAATAATTTTCATTTTTCACAAAGAAATATATGACACGTATTAAAGTATTAAAAATTAAAATGAATCGATAGTTATACATTTTAAAATATCAACATCGTATTAATTACTAGGCCTCTCTATTATCCTTATCCTCCTTTGAAGCTAACGACATTAGCAAATCAAATTCACCAGAATTTTGACACATTTGGTAAAACAAGGAATTGTTGTCGGTTATTAGATTGTATGGGCTATATAAACGTATAAATATATTATTAATAAACGACGTGAATACACATTATGATAGAATGTTTTTGCTTACCTGTCAAATTCTATTATATTTCCTCGATCTTGAATATATTAAAAAGTTTAGGATCAATTTTTTAAAAACTCCAATAAATAAGATTTTATTTCATACCAATAACTAGTATCCTATCGTAATCAATAACAGTACGCAGCCGATGTGCAATACATAATACAGTACATTCAGCAAATTCAGTCCTTATCATTTTCTGAATCTTTTCATCCATGGCAAAATCAATGCTAATAAATAAAGGAAGATGAAATATGTAAATGAGCCGATAAATTTAGTTAACTATTTTAACCAAAATTATTTATAATACCTCGCAGTGGCCTCATCCATCACTATAATCTTTGAACTTCTTAATAAAGCTCGAGCCAGACATAATAATTGCCTCTGACCTTGACTAAAATTTTTTCCGCCCTCACTTACAGGTGTATCCAAATTTTTAAATAAATTGTCCCCTGAAATTAAGACATCATCTATATCCTCTATAGAAGGAATTAAATGAACGCGTCGAAGAGAGTTCAATATTTCACTATCCTCATACTGGGAAAACGTGTCAAGGTTTGACCGTATTGTACCTAATAACCTTGCATTATTACTTTATCAGCAAAAAAAAAACGATCAATAATTAATTGTTAACCAGGATTACCTGTAAATAGTATAGGATCTTGTGGAATTATAGTTATTCTTGACCGAAGATCTTCAACACCGACTGATGAAATATCAAGTTCATCAACTAAAATTCTTCCATCCGATGGTTCCACAAATCGAAACAATGTCAATGCTATTGTTGATTTTCCGGACCCAGTACGACCAACAAGCCCTATTTTTTCTTGTCCTTTCACATTGAATGAAATATGATGTAATACTGGTTCTAGATCAGAAGCATATTTAACTTCCAAGTTTTGTACCACGATTGCGCCACTATGTGGCCAGCAAGCAGGTGGTCTCGGTTCAATTATAGCTGGTGCTTCTTGAGGAATTTCAGAAAACTCGTTTATTCTTTCAACAGCATTCAAACTCATTTCAAGCAAAGTATATTTTCTAACAGTCCACATTATTTGCCGCGTGAATTGCATTGCGAATGACAAGGACAAACCAGCTAAACCAGCATCAATTTGATCAAGATTCCATAGAATGAAAATACCAGCCAAAAATGAAACAAATGAACTAGTAACATTGAAATAGATTGAAAGCCAGCGATTTGTTAGCCATACATAAAAGGATGGTCGACTGTTGTTATCTATTCTGTGATAGAAATGGTAAACAACATATTAATTAAATATAAATAATGAGTAAAGTTTAATATAATAAGCCAATATACGAACTTTAATAGCATATCTTGCATAAACCGGTTTGATGCACCGAAAGCTCTAATTGTTGTTATGCCACTACAAATGACCCCAACATTATTAAACATATAAAGAAAAAAGTTCAAAGTTTAAAATTGATTCTAATACTTTACATTAAAGTTTCAGTGAAATGAGAATATAGTGGGGATCTTGACACAGAATCCATCCTCTTGAGTTCACGAGAAGCCTTTACATATAATGCACCAACTATCGTATAAATAATACCTAATCAAATTAAATTTTTAATAAAAAAGATTAGAAAAGTTTTGCACATTTTATTATCTCAATATGCAGAATTAATAAAAATAACAATAATGACGATTTTACCAAACAAGATTGCCGCAACGAGAAACTCTATTAATTACGGTCAGAATTTTAGATTTAATGATTATTTACTTAAAAGAATGTTATTGAAAAACTTCGTACCTTTTGTAATGACTGTTAAAACAGCCATAGTACTCAGCATCATTATTGCCTAAAAATAATTGCATTAAGTAAACAATAAAATTATATAAGATATAGTTATGACTTAATTAGATAATGATACATGTTTTTGAATTTTTTTTCCGTCACAGATAGTGTCATTATAACCAGAGTTGTATTCACAAAGTAAAAGTATAACAAACAATGTATATTTACATTGATCAAAAATTGCGCAAGTTCGCCTAATAAAAAAAAAAAAATTATTTAGGAATTCACAGAAAAATAATTATGATCATACCGCTAAGATAAATTTACCTGCTAAACTGCTATCAATTGTTTCAAAATCTTTGCCGAACCTATTAAGAATTCTCCCTACTGGAGTCGTATCAAAGAATCTTAATGGGGCACGAATAACTCGATGAAGTAGTGTTTGATAAAGTTTTTTAGAAGCTCTCAAAGATCCATAATAAAGCCAAGCATAACGCAAAACACCAGTGATAATAGATAAAAATGTAATTAACACATATATATTTAAATAATAATCAACACTATATGGCTTATGAATATCGCTGAATATTCCATCGATCATGACTAAATTATCTTGAACCAGGTTGAAAATTATTGGGGATGTCTCGCTACTATCGTAGGCATTTGACCAAACTTTAAGCCACCAATTTTCCATTATCTGTACTCCTCTAGCTCCAATAAATGTTACGGCAACAATTAACCAATAAAGTATATTTCCATTTGCGTAGAAATATGACTTGTAAATCTTAAGCTTAACCATGCCACTTGGTCGTGCTAATAATTAATTGTAATCAATATTAATACCGATTTTCCTAAGCTGAATCAATAGTAAATGATGAAACACACCTTCTTCTTCGATAAGAACTCTTGGTTTGGAGATTTTTTTTATTGGTTGTGAATCATTTACCTGAACTGCATTTTCAACGAGTGCATTTTCTGTGACCAATTCAACCGAATTTACTAATTCTGATTGGCTATCATCAAGGATTGAGGTCAATATTCCTGAATTACGTAATTCTGAAATCGCACCAGATGCAACAACTTTTCCATTATCGACCGCAACCTATAAAAATAATCTACTTGTAATTAATAAAATATAATATAATTACTAAAATGTTTGTTGTAGATTGATTATATCATACCAAATAAGTGGCACCAGTCAAACCGAATCTGATGTGATGCGTTACAAGAATTCTTGTACGTCCCTTCATAATAGGACCTAGTAGACATTTGTTCATCAATTGCCATGCAGTATGTCATCTATGTATAAATGTTTTGCTCGCGAATAGACAGCTCTATGAAATTTACAATTTTACATCAAACTGAATAACTGAATAACAATAAATTAAAATTTAAAAATTAATCTTGATTAAATTCACCTTGCTAAAGCGACACGCATCTTCTGACCACCACTTAGTGTAATTCCTTTTTCACCAATCTCTGTCATGTCACCATCTTCAAGTATTTGAAAATCCTTTTCCAGTGCGCATACTTTTATAACATGATTATAACGACTTTCATTGTAAGGAAGACAAAAAAGAACGTTATCACGAATAGAAGCATTCTGAAGCCATACTTGCTGTGCAACATAAGCAGTACAATTCGGAAGAATCCAATTGTTTTCATTAATATTTTGATCAATTGGACATGTTAAACTACATGGACTGTTGATCTTGCCACTAATGATGCACGTTTCTGTTGTTAAAGATATCAAAATATTGTTGATCAAAATAATATTTATAAAAAATATACGTATGTAGAATCACTGAATTACCTCCAAGAAGTGACATTAATAATAATGTCTTTAATATAAATGTGCATTATATAAATATATATATTAATGTTTATAAAATATACATATTTACAGGAATGTTATACTCAACCTTCCCAGATCCAGTTGGCCCACCTAAAACATAAACAAACAAATCATTTATAATATTCATGAAAGAATGATTTTAAATAATGTTAAACAATGATAAACTTACAAATGATATTTAATTCATCCACAGGAAATTTCAAATCCAAATCTTGCATAATAAACTCATCACTATTTTCCTTAATTTTATTCCATGAAATAGTTGCTTTTTCAAAACTGATTGATGTTATAAATGGATAATTATTTTCATGCAGAATTTCGATTTCATCTTCATTTAAATATTTCTCTATTCTATGTATGCTGATCAATGCTTGAAGTCCATCCATAAAAGTTTCAGGCAGAGCATTAAGGGCAAATCGAAGTTCATTGAAAATAACTAACGAAGTAAAGGCAATGGCTGCTGTAAGCTCATTGTTTTGAATTTTGGTGAAGAAGAAAAAACTAAGAATAGTGACTAAAATAGGTGTAGCCATCCACAATAAATCAAACATGGACAAATAGATAAAGTTATTTCGAAGTTGATTAAGCTCAATTTTACGAGCCTCTAAAGAAAAAAAAATTTTTAACATGTGTAAGTTTTATAGATCATGCAAAAAAAAGGAAAAGTGATATGCACCTAATACTCTATTTTTCCAATTATTTTCCCAGGCAAAGAATTTAATCATACGAATGCCTTGTAAAACCTTTAATTTGGTGATCGAATAAATATATAAAAACAATATTACATTATAGTATTACATATAGCAGTATATGGCTTACTTCATTCATTAGTTCTACTCTACGATCTCTAGCATTCATAAGCTTGTCTTGGGTTTTTGCATATAGCTTGGCCGTTTGATGATTAATTGGAAGTGTAATGATCATAACCGACAAACCGATTAAACAAGATACACCCATTAATTGATATAAAAAATAAAGACCAATTATTAATTCTATGGGACTATCAAATGCATTTGTCCACCACATACAGAATTCACCAATACGATTTGTATCTATTGACATAAGGTTAGTAATTTTGCCAACAGATGAATTATCATCGACATCATCCAAATTATTCTCGGATTTATTGGATTCATCTTTCATAGTTGAAACATGAGAATCAATTCGTCTTAAACTTTTTGAATAAATTTCAGAATTAAGCATCTCCTTTACGCTAATCATAAGTACATTCACAGCCCAATACCAATTTTGTGCAATAGTAAAACGTAATATAATACTTGATACAAGCATTCCAAATATATATACATATCCAAGCTTCAAAGATTCATTTTCAGATCTCGTTTGAATAAACGATAGAAAACGGGACAAAAAAGTTATTGGAACATAATATAACACAGCAGCCGACACTGTGAATAAAAGTTGTAGGCTTATAACACGTTTATTAGCCATCAATATTCGATATAAGAGTTTACTTCCTCTGGTTTTTTTGAAAGTATTATATAATGATTTAGCTTGATAGGCAAATGGAAGTAAATCAAGATCATCATCATTGAAAGTCTTTTGAGTGAAAGCTTTTAAAATTAATTTAGAAGCAGGAGTGAAAATAATAAAGTCCCATATTGAACAATACTCAATTGCACAAATAGCCCTCCCATTTTGAAGTATTGGTGGACCCATCGGAGTTGTGATAGCAATTGATGTAGCCACCAAAGAGAAAATAAAGTTGCATATTACAGTTAATTTTTCAATTATTTCGTCCATTTGATAAGAATCACTTAGGTTTATAATTGCTATAAGAGAACACAAAAAGGAGATTAAAAAAAATGCAGTTAAATATGCATTTAATGTCCATCTCCAACGTCTCGATTTCAATGACAAGGCAATAGCTGAAATTGTAAGTGCATAAAACTTTCGAATTGAAAGGTATCAAAAAGAATGCGTGATAAATAAAATATGTCGACAATAAGTGAATAATAATAAATGATAATAGATTTACCCAACAAATTGCAAGAATCCCATGACTTATCGTAACAAAATTTAAATTATTTCCATGTTTAAATCTCAAAAAGAATGAAAAAGTAAACAATCCAGTCTGCAATATCGCAATTCCAAGTTTACCAACATCCCTTTTTACCGTTGAAAAGCGTGCACTATCAATTATATCATCATAACCTTCATCCGATGGTATTTCAATATAATTTTTTCGTTTTTGAATAGCTTGTAAAATTATAAATATACTACTGGCTGCTACGACGATTGCTGGAGGAAGCGTATTTGCTATGGACATTTTTTTTTTTTTTGGTAGTAAGATTTTTGTGAGAGCAGCAAAATTTAAATGGACTCTTGTGTAACATTTCAGAGTTAAATTCATTATCACTATCAAATCCTTGGCATGTAGTGATTAACTAGGAAATACGCCGTACGCACGTACGTATTGTGGATCTGGAGCATACTATATTGGGGTCCATTAAGACCCGTATAGTGATGATTACTAATAAAATTTTTTGTGATACATAAACCCTTGCTTGGGATGTGTTTTATATAATAAGGTAGCTGCGCAGCGCGGTTGCGCCAAAACCAGGACGGGAAAATTATTACTGTTACGTACTAACTATCTCATATGCATATATAGTAGTCATCAGTTACTCATTATATAATAGGCTGTGATCTCTGAAATCGGTCTGCACCTATGGTATATCGTGCATTTAATAGTATAATGAATATTTAGGACAGTGTTGACAATTTTTATCGGCCAAACATTTTTGGCCGGCCAAAAAATGGCCAATTATTTGGCTGAAAAGGCCAAACAAATTTGGTTGGTCGGTAAAATTGACAACACTGATTTAGTATATAGTAAATATGTGGGATTTCGGAAATAATTAGACTTAAGGCAATTGCATGTAATAATGTTATTTTATCATAAATACTGCATAAACTTGGAATATTTTATTTTAAGTGTTATTGGATTTAACGATTAATTTTCACCTTATACTATATAATAATAAATATATATTTTATTACTATTTTTAAAGAGTACATTTTATTTTATATATGTTCACTCGTTTAAGAGTTATTAAATTCAAATTTATTTAAAAAAAACCCCGAGCCAGCGATTTACATTAAATTTGTATCGTATAGTAGTGTAAGCCATGATCTATTTCAATTAGTAATATAAATTCTAACGTAATGCCAAGGGAAAATGGGGCATTTAATATTTAAATGAATAACCAATAATAAACCAATGTCTCATTTTCCCTTTGCATCACTCATAAAAAGACACTTTTCATCAAACACTTACAAAATAAAAAGGTCCGGAAATATCTAAATATATCGAAGGTGATTACAGATGGGAAGAATCCGTCCGATAATCTAAGTCGAACAATTATGATGTAATTTTCTTATAGAACTATCATATATTCACTGTTAAATTAATAAAACCTTCATGATGTCCAGAGAGTATATCTGCGAGTAAAAAAAAAAATTAAATATTACAAGAGAAATTAAAGTAGATTATTTTTATATTTAAGCGGTCAAATTAAACCTGTAAATTTCAGACCTACTATAAATCGCTCAGTAACAAAAGCGTAGGCCAGTTTTTTAAATATTATTTATGCACTAATATTAAATTTGATAAATAATTCTGATCTTAAATTTTTGCTTACAGGTTTTAATTTGACAGCACTCATTTAATATAAAACGCAGATCCCAAAAATTTTGCACTACGTTTGTAATTAGATCCCACATGACAATTTCATATTACTGTATTAATATCCACAAACCAGTTACGGAGTTAAAATCATTTACCCGTTACCGATGGATGTTTTAGTGGGAATCACTGGCTAAGCTATAGATTTACTAATAAAGAATCATCTCTAAAAACAGTACCATGGTACAGAACGTAAAGCTAAGGGCCAATAGGTTTTTAATCACATGACTATTGGCCAAAAATAAACTGCATTAACAATACTATTGTTAATGCAGTTTATTTTTGGCCAATAGTCATGTGATTAAAAACCTATTGGCTCTTAGCTTTACGTTCTGTACCATGGTACTGTTTTTAGAGATGATTCTTTATTAGTAAATCTATAGCTGAGCCAGTGATTCCCACTAAAACATCCATCGGTAACTAGTGATACGGGTCGATGCCAAACTTTCGGGCCGATCATATTTTTTAAAAACTTTTGGCCTATAATCGCTAATTTACCTCTTTTTCAATGCGAAAATGGCTAAGTACCCTAGCCATGATGAAAAATGGCCGGGTCATGTGACGCTCTGCGGGTAAATTATCCAATAACGAACCGCAATTTGACGTAACGCAGGAAAATTCAAAACCTCGAAAATTTTCATAAGAAACCGTCTTCTGCGCTCTAACAAAAAAATTTTCCTTGAGAGATTTTAATATATTCTGCTAAGCTCTAACCCTAATATAACTATTAATCCAATCATAAATAAACTTTAAAGAATTTTTCAACTATCACATGACCTGGACATTCAAAATGCTAAGAATTACGTCACAATTAGGGATGGTAAAAAAACGATTTAAACAGTTTTTTATTGTTTTAAAAAAATGTTTTAAAACATCGGTGGCTGGTTTGAAATTTGGCTGGAATTGAAACTACCGCCTTTGATCGGTTAATTCAGTTTCAGATAAAGATTTATCTTTTTATAATAGAATTTATTCGTTACTTGTAAAAAAATTATGAAAGGGTCATAAATTTCGACTGATTTAATTTATTTTAAAATTTTTTATCGAATAAATATATTTTTATAATTAGAATTATAAAAAGAAATTATGAAAGAGTTATAAAAATGCATTTTGACCGACTTAATTTTTTTTATCAATATGCACTCTGCACAGGCCTGCCGAAAAATTAATTTAAATTAATTTTTGCTAGCATGATGTTGTAATGGCTTATAATGATTTAGACCATGCTATACGTCATACAATTAAAAATTATCATGAAATTAATTGAAACCCAATTAATGGCGAAATAATTGCAATTAATTGCAATTAAATTCAATTTTCTTTCACTGGTGCAACCTGATCTTTTAAACAGCAAAAAATCAAAAATCATATCATAGTGGTAAATATACGATATTATCTAATTACGTAAAATTGCAATTAATTGACTAATTGTGCCTGCGCCACCAATTAATTAATTGAGCTTGAAAAATTGCAATTAATTGCCACTACAATCAATTATTTAGTAGGCCTGACTTTGCATTCAATACATTTATTGATTTTGAAAGTCAAGTACTTAATAACATTGCAAAACCAGAATCGTAAAGGTTCAGAAGCTTTTTACATTTAGTTAAATGTTCTTTTAATCGATCAATTAAATCAATAGAATCCTCATTACAGTGATTACACTTTTGACAAGGTGTTGTTCGACCATGTTTGTCACTTTCTGTAATTTTTGTGAATTTATTTCAATGGAGGTCTTCTACGAGACATAGTTATTCAAGGTAATTTTTTTTTTTTAATATTAGTAATCGTAAGAAATATTATTTAATAATAAGATCGAATTGTGTAACTTTATTTATTAATTAATAAAATTGAATTGCATAACTTTATTTATTTAAATCGAGTCGCATAATTTTATTTATATATGATTACGTCATAATGTTTTAAACCATTTTTAAACAATTAAAAATCAAACAATCGAGGTTTTTAAAATCATGTTTTAAAACATTTGCCATCCCTAGTACCAATCAGATTTCTTCAACTGATCGACACAAAATTGTCACTCGATTATGATTGGTTAACAACCACAGATCTACAAATTTTGGCCCACATTACATAATTGTTTACTAATTTCCGGCCGCTATTAACTTTTGATTTTTTCATTACAAAAATAGAAGTTTTTGGAAAATAATTCTGCATTATGATAAAATTGACCCAGAAACAAATTTCACTTAATAGGCTCTGTGATTTTATTAATAGAATTCTGAGTAATTCCGGCCAAATTTTTTGATCATCGCTCTTAGCCAATCAAAATCGAGAATCTGTCGTGAAATTTTGTTGCGGCAGCTAGAGTTATTAAGAAAGCTAGATAGGTATAATATGAAAATCGCATTTTTTAAAAACTGTTAATACGTAACTTGAGATTTCGACCATTAAATGAAACTGCATCCTGAACTTTAACATATATTATTTACTTTAAAATATTACATGTATTGAAATTACTGCATTAGCTTGAGAGGCTATAGTAAAGCGTCCAGTGTACATGTTATTTGAAAAATCTGCCGATGATTATCATTGACCAATTTAGAAAAATTAGACCATCAATTTAATCGAATATTTATTTACACAGATTGACCAAAATTCAACATATATGGGAATCCACAGCATTCACCATAATTGTACGCCAAAATTCACGAAAACAATCAAGTTTTAATAGAAAACTTTGATTATTAGGGATAGTTAATTCAGAAAATGTATTATTCTCACAACAATCGAAATTTTTATATATTATACCATGAAAAATGAAACGTACTATTACTTGAAAATGTATTTAAACACCGATATTTTACCATAGTTATTCTTATGAATTTACCTCAAATTTTAACACTTATAACTTTCGATATATGTTTGAAACATATTTGATAATAATTTCAATCGTAGTATTTATACCACTATATATCTCAATCGTGATTATTAACTACCACTTTACCTTTCGACAACTTTGTTAGCAATACGAAAACTAGGAACATATAATTTGAATATTAGTCATTAGCTATACTTCGTACCTCTATAGCATATATTTTCTTATATTGATATCATATTTTACTGTATTAAATATTATAACTATCGTATATTATATTAAATAAACTATTTTATAAAAAAATAAAACTATTAAAGTAACCTATCAAGTGAAATATACTGTTGAATAAGCCTTTTAAACATACTATCAAAAGCAATAAATCTTTTACGCATACTAGTAAAAGTTATCATCAAAAGTTAACTAGTATACTTAACTGT